TTCTACTCCAGGAAAGCAAGTTGAGTGGTCTCAGCAATAGCTGAACAAAGTGAGTCACAGAATTCAGTCAGCTTGCCTTTGCTCCTGGCATTTCAGAGACCAGTACCATAGAGTTACCTCATTATCGTGAGTTAAAACCAGCTTCCTCCTTGAAAGACTATCTGTACCCTAACAAGTAGAAAAGGCACTGCAGTTCACTGTGGCGTCACCCTTTCTGCTCTTAAGCATACACTTTACACCCACCCACCTTTATCACCAAGTGCAATGCATTGCTGCTGCTGCCGGAATCCTGACTGTGTCAGTAGCTGTAGCTGCCCCGAGGCACTTCTAGCAATGGAGCTACAAGTGTTTCATCTAAGCTTATTACGCTACAGAAACAGGATAAATCCAAGACAGAAATAAGCCACTTTTTAAGCCAAGTAAGACCATTCGAGCAGGAGTTTGTTTTAATTAAGGTGATGCTGTTTGTTATTGTGACCAGAAGAAATTAAGACCAAAGTCATCAGTTTGGGAGGCTGCAACACCCGGGAGTTCACAGTGCATTCACCTCCCGCTCCTCAGCGTGGCCCACGCCTGCAGAAACTTCACTTCAAAAAACCCACGGAAAGAAACACGCTCGGTCCATCAGAGAGAAACAAGAGGAAGTTGTACAGATAATTTTACATCATGCACACAATGCCTGGGTCGCTTGCTGGGCCTGGCCGTGGGTTATTTACACCTTCACCCAGCGACAGCCCGTGGTACTTGCAGGGCTGTCACTACACACGGGTTTAATAGCAAGACTTTGCAAATGATTCCCTGTATAACTGCCCACACAGCCTGCATATCTGATCTGCTTTTACGTGGCTCTGGCTATAGAAGGAAAAACCTTGGGTTAGAGCTGCTGTCCAGTCCCACAGAAGTTAAAAATGTTAAGGAACAGGAAAACGCTCACCATCAAAACAGAAAGCAAAACTTTGTGGAAGTATTTTATAGACCTTTTTTTTTGTTTTCTTTAATGACAGCAACAACAAACATTAACCACTTAGGTGTTAAAATAAAATAACAGGAAACAATTTCATTTAGAAAGAAAATCACAGAAGGACTTTAATGAAAATCAAGACTTCAGTGGATATCTTGAAAAAGAGGAAATCCACCAAGATTTCCTATTTCCAGCAATTACTTCCTGCAAGCCATTTCCACCCCAGCATTTTCCACACAAACATGTAAATATTAAAAAATAAAAGAGAGAGGCAGGTCTAAACGATCTCTCCGCTACTCCTCAAGCTTCTTGGGGAGAGCAGGAAAAAGTCAGTAGTTGTCACTGAATAAGGCAGGACCTGGGAATAAAACCTCATTTCACTTAATTCTAAGAGAAAAATCTCTGAAATCAACACACAAAATGCCTCCCCAGGCCGTCCTTCTCCCCAGGACCGTCTCCGCTCCCCAAACACATATTAACCTCTTCCCAAAAGTCTGCCCAGACTGCCAAGAAGCTGCAGCCCCCTGTCACCAGCCCAGCAGGCATTGCCTCCCAGCCTGGAAGGAGCTGGCTGGGGAGGGAGGAGATGTCTCAGGTAGTGACTATTTCCTTCCTCTGTCAATCGCGGGGGGGGGGGGGTTCTTTTGTTTGCACCAGACTTTGTGGGATAAGCAACCTGTTCCCAATGCCTTCTCCTGTTCGCTGCAGGGCTCAGTGCGTACCACTGTGGTGTCTGGGCTCGGATGGGGACATCCCTGCAGTTGGGTGTTTCACATTCTGCATGTATTTCTCAATGAGGTTGCTAACAATCAGTGGCTTTGGTTTTAAACATGATTGTAATTTTAAATAGTAGCTGAGGTGCCTGGAACTGCAGAGAGGTGAAGACAGGGGGGGATCTGGGATTTGATTTGATTTTATTTTATTTTATTGATCAGCATAAATACTTTGTGAAGAAGAAAGTTCCTGTAGTGGCAGGGGAGAGTCAGCAGAGACTGGAGTGTTATGGGGACATCCCTGCAGTTGGGTGTTTCACATTCTGCATGTATTTCTCAATGAGGTTGCTAACAATCAGTGGCTTTGGTTTTAAACATGATTGTAATTTTAAATAGTAGCTGAGGTGCCTGGAACTGCAGAGAGGTGAAGACAGGGGGGGGGTCTGCGATTTTATTTTATTTTATTTTATTTTATTGATCAGCATAAATACTTTGTGAAGAAGAAAGTTCCTGTAGTGGCAGGGGAGAGTCAGCAGAGACTGGAGTGTTATTTGATTCATATTCTGACCCTTCCTCATAGACCTGGCACATCCTAAGTGAGATAATGCTAGTGCCAGAAAGGGTCACACCTCTGTGCCCTGGAGAAACCACAGCACCTCACTGCTAAAGGCATCCCAGGACCACGGCCCTGAGGTGAGGATACCTGTGGGCTTTAGCTGCCCCGACCTCACTTGCCGTCATCTGCAGCGCTGTCCACGTTGTGGCACAGAGCCACACCACGTTCTGTGCTGCAGAGCCTGTTCCTGGACATCCTCCCAGTGCCTGCACCCGAATCCCAGGATCCTGCCCTCCCTCGAGAGCCACCATCAGACTATAAATATCGCAAGCCCACGGCTGTGCAAATGCCCCGGGCCCTGCTACTGCAGCAGAGATGCGCACTAACTTTTGGGGTGTTTGGTGCAGTGGGAACGTACTTGATAACACAACACCTGCTCACACGCCTCGATCGGCGCTGGGAGGGCAGAGCCCGGCACTGCCCGCTGGCTGACACACATTTTCTTGACATCCACTGGATGCCTTGCAAAAGAGAGGGGTAAATGTGCAGAGGAGGACAAAGTTGCTTTTGCATGTCTGTGCCCAAGAACTTCTGTCACTTGTGCATCTTAATCTTCTGCTTTCATTTTCTCCTGCCTTTTTTCTTTGTGCTCTTTCCAACTCAGAGTATTTTTACACGCCTTTGTCCTCAGTAAGAGAGAACAAACAATTCTTTGCACAGGCGAAAGGAATCACACACAAATGTAAAGAAACAGTATTTTTAATATCTCTTTTCATTCAGGTGCAGTTTTTCTGAAATATCTTTATACTTGTTCCTAACATTTTCTCTCACTAAATGCTTTGCTGCCCAATGCTGTTACCAAAGGCAAGTCCACCTGAGCGACTGGTGTAAAGCCACTGCCCTCCGCAGCAGACTGTGACTGGCCAGGCCAGCTCCGAGACGAGCGGCCGTACCACACCACACGCTGCCTGCACAGCGCCCAGCCCCGGGAACAGCAGCGGTGGACATGGTCAGAAAAAAATTATCATGTAAATATCATGGTAGAGCTTCTCTTTTATATCACTTTTAATATTTTCTAATGAAATGTGTGCTCAGGGGGAGACTGACACTCAGCACAGAGCAAAACGAACAAAATACTTGGTGGGCGACTGAGTACAGGCACAGACAAACAACAGCATTGAATTGAAAGGTTTTTGAGACTGTTTCCATCACCTCCCTGCCCACGGCTGGGTAGGTGTTGAGAGAAGGGAAGAGCCGCAGGGCTGGGAGAAGCATTTCCAGGCAGCAATGTGAAATGACCTGCTGTCCCCTGCGCCTGGCTCTCCACCATGCTTCAAATCACACCAATGCTTTAGGAGGAAATCAGTTGGTTTACCTTCTGAATTACAATTTTCAGGGAGAGGGGTGGCATTTTAGCAAAATTTGTTGATGAAAGTGATTTTCCTAAAAGTATTTATAAACACCACATAAAAGACAACTAGCCATTTTCTGGACAGCTGGTTGGGTATTCAATATCCTCCCCTCAACGTGTGATCTTTATTATTTTATGTGTAAAAAGCATAACGAGAAACCCATGAAAAGGAAGCAAACATACACACTTCAATCATCTATATTTTATATGGTAAACAGGGACACATTTTCCCCTCACAAAACTGCATGTCCTGTAATCCAAAATGCCCTGAAAGTGCTAATGACACCAGACAACCTAATTAACTTCCAGTTAAAAAAAAAAAAAAAAAGAAAAAAAAAAAGTAACCTAACGAGACACCGACATGCCACCGGGCTGCACAGACACTATCTGAGCAAGCACAAGCGCTCCTCAAGGTTTTTACCGAGGAAAGCCCCAGCCCTCCCCTGCAGATGCGGAGCCTCCAGCGTGCTCCCAGTTAATTTGCCAGCCAGCAGCTCATCCCAGAGGAGAAAAAAATAAATACAAACAAAAAAAATCTTAATTTACCTGGAAATTAAAACCATTTCCCTGGCAGGAGGATAAAGGCAAAGCAAGCGCGGACAGTGACTGCGCTATCTGGCTGCGACACGGAGCTCAGAGAGGCGTTGGGGCAGACGCAGGTGGGGGGGACAGGAACCAAAGGTGGGACCAGCTGTGGGGCTCTTTGAGAGGAAAAGGAAAGTATCCGGGAGGTGATTCACACCTGGAAGCCGTGAAGGGATCGGGCTGCGATGCAGGTGCTTCTTCAAGCTGAAGAAAACCTCTTTTGCTCGCTGGGATTTATGTTTGCTCCGAGCAGCCCTGGCAGGATCGAGTTATCCGTTGATGCTCTCCCCTTCTTTTCCCCATATCGGAATTAAATAAACGGTATTTTTGGTCTTACCTGTTTCTTTGGAGGGCGTTTCTACAATTTTTTTTTTTTTTTTTTGAGTGTTTCGTTTTGAGTACATGCGTGCCCTGGAAGCTCTGCCTGGGATCAAACCCGACCTACCGCACCACGGAGGAGGCAGCGAGCCTCTCCCTGCCTGCCGCTCCCAGAAACGACAACATGCTGGCACGGGTACACGTTTATTTGAAAATCGAGGAAAGTTCGGGGAACGGAGAAAAGTCCGGTATTTCGAAGGGAGAGGGGAAACTTAAAGGAAACTCGCCTTGTTTTGCTCTCCCCCATCGGATTTGCAGGCAAAGCTCAGGCTTGGGGTGATGCTGGGGGGAAGCCGGCGGTACCGCGGGGCCCCATCGCTGCCTTCACCCCGGGGCTCCCCCGGCATCACCACCTCCTGCCAAAAACCGCCACCCCCTTCCCTCTGGGCTCCGGCACTACCCAAGGATGGGGGGGCCGGGGGGACCCTTGCGGGGCTCGGCGCCGGCCGCCTCGGGCAGCTCGGGCTCGGGGGAGCTCTGCTCCCGGCTCTCCTCGCCGCCCGGGTGCTTGGGGTCGTCCTGGGTTTTCCGCAGCTGCTTTTTGTGCTTCATCCGCCGGTTCTGGAACCAGGTTTTCACCTGAGGAGAGCAGGAGGAGGGAGAAAATAATAATAATATTTTTTAAAAAATAAATAAAATTTAAAAGCAAAGGGGAGG